CTCCCAACAACAAATTAGTTTTCAGTTTCCCTATGTATAAACATTTTACATATACTGAATAGGACAAATGCAAGATCAACTCTTGTTCATAAGGAAAGGATCAGGAAGAATGCTATGATTAACTCCATTTGCTGTATCATTTAATAATACAATATACTTAAAAGAGCTTCTTGCTCTCATGGAATACACTAGAGTGATTGCCCCTCTTTTTCATTTCACATGTCACCAACAATATTTTTTCAGGAAATAGAAAAAAACTAAATCAATTTCACCTTTTACTGCCTTTTAATATTGTAACCAGCTATTAAAAAGGACAAAGGTCAAAAAATAAAATAATTAAAACTTAAAAATTAAAAAAAAAGGAATAGGAAAAGAAAAAGGTCTAAGGCCAGCCTTTAAATTCCTGCAAGTTCACTTTCTTCTTGACTAAAATTTCCAAGATGCCCTCTGCAACCCTGTTGCAAGCCATGCCCTCTCCCAACTCTAAAAAAATGGGAATGGTTTGTTTTAGGGCAGAAGCAGAAATGCAGAACATGTAATTTCTGTTGTAACAGACCTACTGGGAAGCTTCACATGCAAGACACTTACTGATAGCTGGACAAAAGGAAAAATGAGTCTCCCAAGTAGCCACTAACACGCCTGAACATCACAGACGCAAAATCAAAAGCGGGCTGGGCAGGTGATCACATGACCTCTGCGGACAGGAAATCATTATGTACACTGTATGGCCCTATGGAGAAATGTTAGGCTCCATATGCACACTCAGACATGTGCAGTACACACATCACCTGTTAAACATTGAAGATTTGCCTTCTCTACACCCAGCTCTGAAACTTACTAGCTTAAGGTTGCTAGCTAATTCCCCTCAGCTCTGATCCATTCAAATCTGAACACATGTTCTCCTTTGTAAAATGGATATTTAAATGGCTACCGTGTTTTAAAACAGAGTTGTGAAAATTAAGAGAAAAGAAAATTGCATGAAAGAATTAAATAGATACTTCAAAAAAGAGAATATTCATTTGGCAAATAAATATATTCAATATATTAAGCATCAACTGTCATCAGATAAATGCATATAAAAGCCACTAGAATGGCTAAAATTATTAAAAACTATAGCACCATGTACTGACAAACTTCTGATATGAAATTTAAGAAATATCAGTGGAAGATAAGTAGGTGGCCACTTCAGAATGTCATTAATTTTCAGGGGGCAATGTCTGATATGTGTCACAATTCTTAGGTTCAATTCCATTGCTAAATACAAACATTCACTATCAACGAGAGTAACAGAGCCTAACAAAGCAGTAACATTTTTAAGTTCTTTCCTTTCAAACTTGCACCTCAAGTGCTCAGCAGTAATAGGGAAACCAAAATACTGGGTGTGCCTGATATGTTTAAACAGAGCCTTTAAAAGAGTATGTTAAGGTAATTCGTCCTGTGACACGAAAGCAAAAGAAGCTGCTCCAGATAATACAAAGTCCTTTTAGTTCAAATGAACTGAAATTCTGAGTTACTACCACTGTCATGTTGCAAGTGAAAATAAACAAGAGCTCATAATATAATATTTACTGACAAAACAGAGTTTGCAAGCTTTCAGTTACAATAAAAATTTCCTAAAGAAAAAATTTTTCACTCTATATACTATCATTTACAAATTACACTAAATAACAGGGATCTTGTGTGTAACAGACTTTTAGAATTCTTTATCATTTCCCTTCATTCTTGTATAAGACACCAATTAAATACAACTTGAGGCTGCATTAAAAGTCAGTCAGAACTGTTAACTACTTCACCGCATCTTCATGTTTTCAACATTCCTTAACTAGAGGAAAGTAAAGAAAGCCTGGAAGAACAGTGGTAGCTGTCACAGCAAATCTCAGTGGTAAGGAAATGTCAGTGTTCCACGGGCTGTGGCAGGAACACAGGGTGCTTGCCCTCCCACCATGGGCAGTTACTGGCTCATCAACATTACTAAGGGGATCCAGTCCTAACAAGGAAAGGATGAAGGAAAAGAATGTTTGAGCAATATCAAATCTCTCAGGTTTCTAGAATGATATTCTCACCAAGGGGGTTTGACAAATATTCCTGACTGGAGGATATCTGAAACAGGAAAAAGATCATAAGCAAAAGCATTTTTTAAAACTTTGTAACTAAGACAAAGTGAAAAACCAAGGGGAGGTTGGTGGTAGGTTAGAACTGAGGACACAAGGCAATGAAGAAAGAAAAGAGGAAGGAAGGAGGGGAAAAAAATGGCAGTAGATACAGAAATGATAAATTCTTCTTAAGTTTTATTTCGATATCTGGGCAACAGATAGTTAGAACTAGCAGTTGTCATAAACAAAGGCTATTCTCTTAACACACTGACCACCTTTGAGGTACTTTCATTTACAGAAAAAAAGCACAGGAACACATTCACCTAATTATACTGCTATAGTATTATTTTGTACATCCTCTTACCCTTTGTCTCACATTCAAACTATAATCTAAGTAAGCTTAAAACTAAATGTTATTATCAAGGAATAATAATGTGTGTTTTTAATTATCAACCTCATTTCACATGAAAAGAAATTATAAATTACAGTACCTTTTCTCTCAAGTCCTACAAGCCTAAAAGAAATTCCCTTTTATGATTTTTACCAAGCCGATCATAAACCCATACAAAAAGAACAAAGGCCAAAAACAGCTAACACTATCAGGATGGAGAAAAATGAGACAGGGGGATTTGCCATAGCACCTACAAATCCCAACATTAGAATGTGGTACTGGCTCAGAATAAAGAGAATAGAGCAGAACACATAGCACAGACACAGGCCTCATAGAGGGAAATGCAGTGTTCAAGGAGAGAGTGTTCCAAAATAGAGGGGAAGAAACAGACAACTCAGTAAGTGGGGATGAGACAACTAATTATCTGTTGTCAAATGATTATCCAATCAAATTCCTCAGACCCTAAACAAAAATCAAGTCGAGGTAGATTAAAAGACCTATCAATGAAAAACAAAAACTTTAATAAAACTTTCAGAAGAAAATATGACAAGATCCTTATAACCTCAGAGTAGAGAAGACTTTCTTAAACAAGAAAAATGAAATCAAGGGAGAAAGATACTATCCCTTAATTAAAACTTAAGTTTTCTTAACAATAAAAGACATCAGAAACAATAAGAAACAACACACTGGGATACATATTTGCATTCATAACCAACAAAAGATTCATAGAAATGTATATGGAACTCTAAAATAAGTAAGAAAAAATAATCCAACAGAATAATAAGTAAAAGGCCAGTAATTTATAGAAAAATGGAGAAATATACAAAAAGATGTTCAACTTCACTAGCAATGAGACTGAAATGAAAACAATACCCTATTTCAGACACATCAAACAGGCACGAGTTAAAAAAATCTGCCAGTACCCAGTATTAGTGAGGATGTGGAACAAAAGAGACTTCACTTCTGCTGCTGGTGGGTGTAAAATCTCCCACAAACTCTTGGAAGGGCAATTCTGCACTACCGAATATTTTGCAACTTTGCATTAGCTACACTTTTAATAAGAATTGCTCTTCAAGGTACAATCCCTAATAATCCCTCCTTATGCGAACAAGAAAACATGGATAAGAACTTGCACTGCAGGGCTGTCTGTAATAGCCAAAAACTGGAAAAAACTTCATGTCCGTTATTAGGAAAATGGATAAATAATGTGCTGTAATCATACAATGGAATACCACATAACTTAAAATTAATGAAGTAGAAATAAAAATATCAAAGAGTAACTCCCATAAAAAATGCTATATGACAAGTTGTAAATGACAAAGAACGACTCTTTTTATTAAGTTTAAAAACAGGCAAAACAATACCTATAGTATTTTTGCATGTGTAGTATATTATAAAATAGGGTTATATCTTTTCAGAGAGTATTTAACTCTAAGAAGGGAGGAAAAAGAACAGGATCAGGTAGCTGCTAAATATATCAGAGAATTTCAACTCTACCTTGTATGTTTTCTTAAAAGAAGAATAGTGTGGCAAAATATTAGGCTTGACAGAGTTAGCTGATAGGAATAGGAGTTTATGTTATATCCTGTACTTTATGCTAAAATACATTAACTAAAATTCATGACTATCTGAAAGTATTAAGATTTTTTGTACCATGTAAGCAAAATGAAGATGGAAAGAAAGCCTAGTCATAATCAAATATTGTTTTTATTTTATTGTTTTGCAAAGATTATAAAAACCTTATTGTGTTCAAGAATTGACTTAGTATTTAAATGTTATAAATTTGTATTATTGGAATGCTTTATCTGCTTTTATTAGGGTGTCATTGGAGATAAAATTCTATAACCAAAGGTCTGAAGCTACCTCATTGTCAAGTTCTTCTAACGCAACACAAGCTGAAGACACAGTACTACATGCATTCAAATTTCACTTGGAAAAATCTCCTTTAAAAAGTTGACACTTCTCAGAAGAGTTTTCCCAAGGTGTAATTTGAGCTCAGCTTTGTGGGACACAAGTTTCTGCATCGTTAAGGAAGAAGATAGCAAGGTTATTGGAAAATGAAAAAGTCTATCAGTGAATAGCAAATGGCACAGGGGCAGAAAATGACAAGAAAGACTGCCTGGCTGGAGTAAAGAGAAAACAAGATAAGCAGATAAATGGAGTGAGGGAGCAGAACAGACAAGTAATGACTGAGGAACCAATGCAGTAAGACTGGAAAAATTGGTTCAGAATATAAAAGAAATGACATCTTCCCTTTTAACACTGACCACTCAGTCTTCGTACTACGGTTCTGTAGCTCACGCTTCACTTTCCCCTTGGAATTCCCTAAGAGTGGCTGCCCCAAGCAGGTTCCACCTCAGGAACCCTGAACATCCTCTTTAAGGCTCTGGGGGGAGAGGGAGGTATTTTCTCTTCTTTTTCTCAGCACAGCTTCAAAGGGCTTTTATTGAACAAAATTTAAAAATCCAGATTTGAAGAAATCCAATAAAATATATAGAGTTCTAATGCTACCATACCTTCAAGGTTTACAGGTTCTGATTCCAACTAGAAAGCAGGATCTGCCTGAGATCTTTAACTCCCTAGGCTTCAGTCTACTTCCACCTGATAGGTCATGTACCATTATCAGTGTATGAGTGCCTTGCTGGACATCTTGACCTACTACAGCCTCTTCTCAGGGTCTGAGCCAAGGATTTCTTCCCAGCATGAATGACGTCAGAAGGATTGCTCTACCTCTGGAGAGACTCTGCACCTACCAAAGGAATGCAGTTTCACATTGACAGGCCCTTCATTATAAAATGACCTTATCATACATACAGTAAGAGGTGATCACTTCCTTCAGGGAGAGTGCTGTCAGGAAAGGTGGGAGACAGGATGGTGTTACCACCCTCACTGAGAAACGTCTGCCTGAAGGCCTTTCTCTTCAGGGAAGATAACTGTCTAAATAAAGGGAGAATGTAAAACGGCTCGTGTATTTCCAATATTACATTTATCACACTATATTACAATTATCTTTGTGCGTGTGTTTTTTCTCCATTAGACTTTGTTCCTTGAGGGCAGGAACTCAATTACGTTTTTTTGTGTCCCCAGAACTTCACCTGATGTCTGACACACAGTGATTATTCAATGCATACTTGTTGAATGGAAGGTGAACACAGGTATGACAAAAAAAAGAAACAATGGTAAGAAAAATCTCACTAAATCAAAGAGGGTAGGTGACAAAGACGACAGTGCAAAGGATCATTCCTATAGACATCTCACGTTAAATAGTGACTCGCTTGTACTACTTAACTATTTTATTTAGAAGGAGCTTTAAGGTCTGAAAAAGGCAATATATAATTTCTCTTCTGTAAGTTTAAGGGCAGTTAGAACTCCTTCATATTTCATTCCACTTTTTCTACTAATTCCATTTCTTTGCCTAAAAAAAGTTGAGGTGGGCCTCAATCAAGTTCAGTTTCACCCTCAAACTGCCTGTGGACACTGACTCGAGTCATACCTGGGCCAGCAAGTACTGACAGCTTTGGTTGGTGGCACTGCTGGTGAAACAATCTATGCACAGCAGTGTTTTTTGTCTAAACAGCAGTGCCTCTTTCACTGTGGCGGCACTAAACTGTGATCCACTAAACAGTGCATGGGAAAGTTTAGAAAAGACAGGCAAAGCAACTCCGCTTACTTCGAGCAGATAAGTTCTCAATCTGACAATGGACTTCGGTAAAGATTTCCCCTGAAGAATGAGTTCCACAGTTTTTCAATTTGAAAATCATTTGCCTTAGTCCATTTTGCCCTGTTTTATTTCACCAGGTCAAAATGAGAGTCTTGGCAACAGCAGCAGAAAGTAGTACCGGTCTCAACGCAACAAAGGAAGACATCATAAGGGCTTCCAGAAGCAGAGGCTGTGGGCCTCTCAACATGATGCTTTCTACATTTGTGTCAGTCGTCTGTGTTAAACTACCAAGAAAAAAGCTGAATGAAATTATGGAAAAACCTATTTGAAGATTATCTAAGGGTTAAGATATAAAATTTCTGAGTTCTCTGGGAATGGAAGGAGCTTATAACATCCATCCTACCTCACTTTTGAACAGGCTTTTGGAATCACAATATACCAAATCACAAATACCACTTTCTAGAGTCACCTCATAATTAGAAAATGTAACTATGAAACAGGTGTCTCCCTGTTGTGATGTGCAGTATTCTGTGTGGATTTCCAGCCATGTGTTTTTTTCATTCCACTAAGTCCTAAAACTCTACCTAGGGTTTTGTTAACTGCTACAAAATGTACTGCTACAAAAATGCTTACTTTGCCCGTTTGTTTTACTGTTATTCTAATACGCAAAATTAGTTCTCCTATCCCGTTCATCTTTTTTTTTTTTCCTTCCACGGTTGCTGAGACATTAGCGCTCTTACGACCCCAACAAAAAAATATTAGTTGTTCTCGATTGCTTGGAGATCCTAGGGTTTTCCTTTTCAAATCAGAAGATGGAACATCTTGTAGCAGGGGCGCCGCCCATGGACACACAGTAATACTTCCAACCATTGTAAACAAATCCTGACGCTGTGCTATCAGCGCTTGGATGCATTTGGGTACGAGCGAGGTGCAATAGGTTGTGCCCATTGAATGGGCGAAAGTCGAGGTCTCTAGTGTTGAGCTACCCTGGACGGCAGGGTCTCCACTGCGGTGTCATCTCCTAACGGGGAGAGAGGGTGCTTACCCAGCTCTAAAGGGAGCAGGAAGTTTCTATCATCAATTCCGCAATTGCTTAACTGGTCCAGTCTCCAGCGAGCCCCAGGATCTTCCCTATTCCTACATTGGGCGAGGAAATGGCCCTTTTTTGGGGGTCCCCAAACCCAGGTGGGCAGGAGGCATGCCCCCAGACCGACGACGACGCGCCAAGATTGCCCCCTGAAAAATCCCGACGGCGAGGCTGCGGCGCCGCCCCCCTTCTCTCTCTCCGCTGGGCTTTTCAGTCTCTGGAGTCGCCGCCGCCCACTTTCCTAGCACGACAAACAGCAGCCCAGGGCCAGGGCCCAGCACTTACCCACGTCCTGCTCGAAGGGGTTGGCGGTGAATAGAGGCATGTCGCCGGCGGCTGAGCCCTAGCCGCTGGTGTCTGGCCGAAGCTCGGCAATTGCTGGGGGCTGGGTGACCCGCGGCCGCGGCTTCCTAGACGGCTTGGCTCCGACCGCGGCCTCGCACTTCCGCCACCGCACCTGCCGAACTCCCGCCTGCCGGGCCAGCTCCCGGGCGGCGCTCCGCCACTGCGATCCGCACCCAGCGTCCCTGCCGCAGTGAGGTCCCGCCAGCGCGGGTATTCTCTCAGTGTCCCTGTCGCCGCCGCCCGCCGGGAAAGTGGCAGTCCCTGTCCCAGTCCCCGTAGGAGGCAGGCGGCCGCTGCGGCCACCTTCCCGTCGCTAGGACCCCAGCAAGCCACGGAACGGGGGGACCTTCGGGGCCGGAAGTTGTCACGCCTAGGATTGGGCGACTCCAGAGGCCCGGAAGCTGCCGTGTTCGCGACGGTTCTGCAGGGGGCGCTTGTGATTCTCCCGGTGAGGCTACGGCTTCAGACAGTCGAATTCTAGCTCTTTAATAGTTTATTCCTAAACTGCAGACTAGTCCCGTTGCCCTGGAAACAGATCGGCGTCTCGGCGCACAGGTGGCGTTGAGAGCAGCGAAAGGTTTGGCTCCGCTCTTGACGCTTGCGGTATTGCACTCTCCTCGTTGATGCCTAAACCCCTCCAGAAAAACCACCTTGGAAACCGGTGATCAAAGTAACAGTGACTCTGTGGGGACTTCTAACTTTTCGCTCTCCATCACGTTCTCGCCCCGAAAAATGCTGCTCGACTCTGGGAATTCGAAGATGAATGAGGCACACTTCCTGCCTTCAAGTTGATAACAGTTTTTTAGGGGTGGTGTATAGCATATTCCCGATCGTGCATGACGAACCTGACACATGGTAAGAGTCATAAACTCAACTTCCCATGGTATCCAGACATGTATTTAAGTGAATACGCAAGTGCAAGTACCCACACCCTCCCTATCCCTCTTAAACCCTGTTTTATTTTTTCATATCACTTATCACTTCCACTATGAAGTTTTCTGTGGTCTCTTTAGAATATAAACTCCATGATCACTTGACTGCTGTATCCCCAGTATCTAAAATAGCCCTGCAACGAGTTGGTGCTCAATAAATACTTTACATATGTTTGTGTGACTAACCAAATAGCAAGTATCTGAAGATGGCAGCTACTAGTATTAAACTTCAGCCTTTTGTTGTTGAAGCAAAGGCCCTACTAGAACTTAACAATTTTTCAAATTTTAAGAATTAAACGTTTTAACAGTGGGCCAAACAAAACCATTTTACAACCTCTAGTGTAAAAACTTAATGCATAGAAGAGAGAACCCTTACATACAAAATAGTTTAGAAAGGTGGTTGCATTTAATGCTGTAAAGTCAGGTGCATAATAAGAAAAAAGTGCAGGTGAAAGGAGCTGGTTTTCAAAAAACATTGAACCTAGGTCGTTCAAGATTCATTTGGAGACTTGTCTAGGATTAAAATTTAGTGTCGGGATGGAAAACTCGGCTAGGTAGAAATAACAGGAAACCGATTGGGAAAAGCCTTAAAGAACCATCTGAAAAATTTAATTTTAGTGTATAAGACACTAGATGATCACTTAAGGATTTTAAACAGCAGAGTAAGATAGTAAAAAGTTTCTGGATATTAATCTGACATCAGTGTGCGTGATGTATATGAAGCAGCAGACCCAGGCAGAACTGTTTAGGAGGCTGTTGAAGCACCGCAAGCCATAAGAAGATTGTAGAGGAGCTTGTATTTGGATAAGAACAACGGGCTAAGGATTAGTCTTTGGAAAGCATTCACTCGTTAGAGACACTTCTAGCTCCTCATCTGTAATGGTCAGCATACTCAAGAATTTGTAGGTATTTACCTTTCTGTGTGTGTATTCAGTCTCTTAATGAGTTCCTTCAAGTAACAATTTTTTTAGTAGTTACTATAAGCCAGACTCTGTGTTACAAAAAGAGGATACAAAGATCGTTCATTGTTAATTCACCTGTTATTAAAAATTAAAAGATAAGGCAGTGGCAGCCCACCAGTTTTGGTGTTGAAAGGAATGCAACTTTTCCTTTTTCTTTAATACAACCTTTTCTGAGTCCATCTCTCTGATAACAAAAAATAATCTTACCGATTTAAGTTAAATTAAGTCTCTTTAGGGTTTCTTGGTTATATTGGGTTTACACTCAATGTGTAATATCCTTACCTCCCTGAACATACACCAAGATCCATCCCTAGGTTTGTTCTTGCAATTCTGCCAGTACACATACATATTTTTATTCCAAAACAGGGACAGTGCTTCCCCAGTCAGGCCGTGATGAACCTTGACCCTAGTTACTGGTCTAGAAACCCTGGGGGTGGGGAGGGGGTCAAATCTTGAGAAGGGAAGCTAGCATTTTCCTCAGATGAGACTTCTCGATGGCTTGCAGGCAAAGGGAGACCACTCTCCTCCAGCAAGGGAAGGTGCATCACTTCTGTTGGTCTAGAGGATCAAGGTAACTCTCCCAGCTCCCAAGTTCTCAAAGAATGTTCACCCAGATGGCCACATCCTAGGTCTCAGGGTTCCATATTCCCCCTTCAGGACTCTGACTAGCACACATGCTATGGATTATGGATTCAACCTTCATTTAAATTCTGCTACTCTCACAATCAGGTCCTGAGTCTGATTTTTTTTTAAGCCGTAATTCATCCCTCTGGCTACAGTAAATAAAGTGCTTTATCTTTCACTTTCTCTGTCTCATTTTTCTCTTTGTGTTTCAGTTTGGATACTTTTTCTTTCTTTAGGATGAGTGGTATGTTATTTTTTATGAATTTCCAAAATAATTGGATTATCTTTTAATTTTTCAGTAAACTTTTTATTTTAGTAAAATTTGGGGGAAAATTTTAGATTTACATAAAAGTTGCAAAGCTAGTGCAGAGTGTTCTCATCTACCTCTTACCCCATTTCTCCCATTGTTAACATCTTACATTTTCATGGTACATCTGTCAAAACTAAAAAACCAACATTGGTTCATTGCCATTAAGTGAACTCCAGACTTTGTTTGGATTTAACCAAAGTTTACATTAATGTCCTCTTTGTTCTCCAGGATCCAATCCAGGTGTGTCAGACCGAAGACCACCCAAGTTTCAGTGATTGGCTAGGACTCACAGGACTCAGCATATAGTCATCCTCATGACTACAATTTAGTACAACAAAAGGATACAAAACAAAACCAGTAAAGAGAAATGGCACATGGGAGGAAGTCTGGAGGAGTAAGCTCCCAAGAGTCCTCTTTCACTGAACTAACACAGCACATGCTTCTTCCGCCAGCAGTGAGTTGTGAAAACACATGTGACATGTTACCAGGTAAATTAATTGCAGGTTCAATGCCCAGGCTTTTTACTGGTGGCTAGTCACTCAGATACACTCTACCTAACATGCACCTAAATTTATCGACTCTCAGGAAAGCAGATGTTCTGGATAAACCACATTGCTTGTATAGTTTAGGTACCATGAGCCATTCTTATCAGGAGATTGTGGGAACTCACCCAAAATCTAAGTTCCCAGCTGCCAGTCAATGTCCAGCCTTGTAAGTAGGCCTAAGGATAGCAGTCTCAGGTCTGCTGTGTTAACTCTTTTCTGCATACAGGAGAACCACATTTCATCTAGTTGTCAGGTCTCTCTGGTTTTTTTCTGGTTTGTTACAGTTGCTCAGTTTTTACTTGTTTTTCATGAGCTTGACAATCTTGAGTGCTTATCAGATATCCTGTACATTTCCTGAGTCTAGCTTTCTCTGCTGTCTATCTCATGCTTTAATGGGTGTGTGGAAAAAATGAAGGTTCCTGTGGCCAGGATTCTCACCTGGCCCTGGTTGGCTAGCTCACTATGCACATATGGGCAATGGGTCATTACTGACCCTATATAAAGAGCCCTACCCAGTGCTCTGGGCGACACGGTGGCATAGCTGCGAGGCTGCAGGAGAGCAGAGCAGGGGCTGGAGTGGTGGCAGCGCCAAGGACAGACACTGGGACAGCTATGTGGGCAGAGAGGCCCAGAGGCATAGACCGGCTTGCTGCATGCAGACTCACTCTGAGTGAACAGGATTTTAGTGATTAACTGGCCACCATGGAAATAAAGTTGGGTATCACCCTTTCACCCCAAGAATGTCCTACTGTCATTTCTTTGATATATTGAAACCATAGTGAACTTGCCTGGGGCCGAAACCCATTGGCAAAACAGGGTGTTACAGGTTTTAGAAAGAATACCACAGAGGTGAAGTGTCCTTATCACATTGCAGAGAGGTACATGATATCAACATGATATCTGGTCATGCTAACTTTCAGCACTTTGTAAATGCAGCATTTGTAAGGGTTCTACACTTTAATGTTAATATTTTTCCCTTTCCCTACCCTATTCTTAGAAGCAGTCACTGAGTCTAGCCCACCACCAATAGGATGGGAGGAAACCTAAGTTTCACACTCTGTGGAGGGAATATATAATTCCAAATACAGCATTGGAGTTCTTCTGTAAGGAAAGCTTGTCCTCTATTTACTTATTTATTAAATTACTTATTTACATCAGTATTGCTGTTAATTACTTGTATTAGTATGAACTCACACAGATTTGTAGTTTGTGTTGTGATCCAATGATATGTTTTGTTATTGTTATTGTATTTGTTTTTGCTTAGATTGTTCCAGCTTTGGTCACTGACGACTCTTTCAGTTGATTTCTATGTCCCTTTGATGTGTCCCTTGTTGGTTTTTTTTTTTAGCATTTTTTTTGCTCTCTAGTATTACAAGGTGATCAAGATTTGTATTGTATTTTCTCTACTCCAGTCTTAAAATCAACCATTTCTCAAAAGAACTCTGGTTCTGAAGGTCTCTTTAAAGGCTGCCATTGAAGATTTCTAGTTTTCATGATATGCCTTGAGGAGATAGCTGGCTGACCTGAGCATAATTCTTCCTGCAGCACATTAACGTCATTAACAACCAGCCAACTCCACAGCCCTTATAATTATCTTCATCTGCCCCAAATGCTAGACCTGTTACAGAAGCCAGTGCATGCCCTTCTGCATGTTCCCAGCCCTGCTTACCATGGTGGTAGTGATTATGATGCTACAGAAGTAGTTCTCAAAAGCTGGTATCCATCAGAACCACCTGGGGGGCTCATTGAAAACACAGATTGCTGGACCCGACTCCAGAGTTTCTGGTTTACCAAGTCTTATGTGGAACACATGCTAATCCCTAAGCAGATAAACAAAACTAGACACTAAAGGCCTGTTTTCCTCCATTCC